AAAAAAAAAGTTAAAATTATGGCTTTTGACTGTATTGCAGTTTTTTATCTCACTCTGTAGATATATGTACAACTGAGGTATGATAGAAGTATAATCTGCTCAATTTCGAGCAGATATGAATATAATATACTCGATTTCGAGCGAATTTTGTTTCCACTCTAAAACGAGTGATGCATTCCTGCTCTGTTTCGAGCTCCCGCTCTTTCTTGTCTGCGTCAAAAACGATTGATAGTTTTTAATCTATCCATCAATCTAGTAAGCATTTGGGAAAAATGCCCAAAGTTTTCATATCTTTTTAATGCATCAATTTTAAAATTTTGAATGTTTATTAATATTAACGCCAAAACAGCTTGCTCCCTGGTCGTAATATCTATGCAGAATTGTAGTCATATGTTGATATTTTGAACACTCCAGTCTTAAGGTCTGTCAAAGTTTGTTGTGTTTTTGTGGTTGTTTGATCTTGCAAATATTTTCAGTGTCTCTGTGCAAGATTCATGTAAGATTTATTATATAGTTTACCAGATATTGCTTTGTTATTGCAAATTATCTGTATTCCAATAAAACTTTAATCTACATTTTATAAACAATTGAGTATTTGAGATATGACACTCCTTGATTAAAATAGCAATTTTGAATTTTTTAAATGTCATACTTTTATGTGTAATATTTGCTCCATATAACAATTTGATTAATTAACCTATTTTAACGAAAATGTTTCAAAAACAACTATCGGAAATATCGAATGGGACTTCCAATAAGCCTCAATTGCTAAGCCTCAAAAGAAAACTGAGAGAAATAATAGCTTGAGACAAAAAATAAATAGAAATCTGTATGGATTTCATCTGATTCGGTACTAAATAACATTTTATGTTAGGTTATCGGACATCAGGATTTCTGCTGTAAAATAAAATGTTGTCAGAAAACTCTCTTGTGGAAAGTCCACACAATATTGCCGAAATATATTGACCTTTTTTGAGTGTTTCATGAATTTCAAAATTATGTATGCCATCATCCTAAATAAAATTTTCTTTTAACTATTTCATTACAGAAACATGTTTATTAAAAGTGCACAAAATTACTTTCTTTTAATTAAAAGTCTACTTCGACGTCTACATGTGCTATGACTAACACAAAATATTTCAAATAATGTTACATTGTACTTGAAGTACTCAACATTCCCAAGATATAATTGCGAATTCTTCGAGTCCGCCACTCTGTGTGAATGGCCCAAACAATAAGTTTGGCTTGCCCAGTAGAGTTGAGGTAACTCCACAGCAACAACAACATGAGTAAATCCGCTTAATATGGTCAACAGTTAATTGACCTTGATTGTTTGCTTTTATTTTATTTTCTTTATCTTTTGTTGCCTTGGTTGTTGTTGTTGTTTTAAAGTTGATTATATTCTTATTTTTCGGTCAGTTAGTCCAGATCTAATAACTATGTGAGCAATTGTGTTTGTGTGTGTGTCCAGTCACACCTTTATGAGTTCAAACATTTAACACAGAAATACCTGGCTTTTTTTTGTTTTGTATAAATTGTGTTTGTGTATGTCCATGTTGCTTTGCTCTTTTTTCTCGTCTTGCTTGGTATTTAAGTTTTTGTTGTTTGAAATCTTTGTTTTTGTTTCATTGACCAGAGTTCGTCAGACTATCTTTTCGACTCTTCACATGGTGGAGTAATTTTTGCTCTTCATTATAAAATGTTACACAGTTAAGGTGCGTATTTGTTGTCCGTGCGTCCGACCGACCGACCGACCACCGGTTGTTATTCGGTGCTCTTTTTTTTTCTTTTTGTTTTGAGATACCCATGTTTTTTCTTCTTCTCATTTCTAAATGTGTAAAAATTCCCATTAAATATCAGCTGTAAGAGAGTCTACAATGCGAGCGCTTAGACAATATATTGACCATTTAAACAATTTTTGCCTGAGCGGAATTTCCAAGTATCGCTTTCAACATTTGTGGTCAAGTTGCCATCGTCATTGTTATCCGTCAACAGAAAAACTCTACTCACTTATGACGAGAAGCGTTAATGTGTTTATTTATGTGAGTGTGTGTTTGTTTGTTGTTTAAATACTTAAAAATTAGAAATTTAATGGATTCTTCGACCAGAGGGTATTAAAAAAATTCCAAAATTTTTTTCTTAAGAATTTTCTATTGCCTTTCCGTTTATTAAATTGATCTCTATTATGATGACGTATGGAGGAATGGAAGACATGGGCAAAGTTGTTAAGTTATTTTGAAAAAAAGCCCAATAAAAAGAGGAAGCAAAATGGTTCTGAGCAAAAAAATGTGATACGACGAGGCTTTCTTTAAATAATTATTTTTTAATATATCTCTGAAAATCCCGCTACTGAATCAGAATACCAAATTGTAGCCCATTTGGTTGGAAAGTGTTGCAATATCGATGATCCGTTTAATGGGGGCGATTCAAATCAAACTAATGTTCATAAAAAATTGCAAGTAAGTGATTCATTATCCTTTATTTAGGGATTTCTGTTAAAAAAATGTTACTAGGGCTTTGATGAAATCGCTCGTTATTAAATTGAATGTTTTAAAGGGGAGTTTTTCTGGGTAAAAATTCTAAATAAATGTGAAATCTCGGATATTATTATATTGGAGTTGTAAGAATGCTTTTGCAGGGTGGAAATATAAACCCTGAAATCAAAATTAAAGAAATTTGAAAATCTAGATTACCTGGGAAATACACAAAATATAGGTTCTTCATTGAGTTAATTGTGTGCGAGGAGTTATTCTGCCAATTGACAATCCAAAATATCAAATTTAGGGCAACAGGGTGGAAAAATATGGCTAATAACTTTAAATTACCAAAGTAGGTCCGCAATACCGAAAAAAGGGGTATATGTTAAAACGTGGACCTGTACTGAAATTTGTTTTTCTGCAGTAGATTCTATCCACGGTGGATTAATTACCTTACTTTGATGGTCTGATATCCTCAAAATATGAGTCCTATACCATAATAGGAGCTATATTCTAAATCTATTAGACTTAATGAAAAGTAAAAAAAAAAACAGCTAAGTAATACCCTCCATCATTCGGAAGAAAGCTGAAATTTTTCAAAAAACTTCCGGAAACTACCACTTAAATGAAAAATGTTATATGGAGACTGTCCGAAGACGTGGACCTGCTTACGAAATTTTTTGTCATAGGTTGTAGTAACCATTAAGATCTCCCAATATGAAATTTAAAACGATTCCGGGGAATAATGTTGCTGAAATAATCAAAATACCGAATATCAGAAGCTACGGTTATATGGGGGAGATACGATTCCGGTGAATAATGTTGCTTAAATCATAAAAAACCGAATATCGGGAGCTACCGTTGTATGGGGGCTATAAGAAGACGGGGATCTGCATACAAAAATGTTAGTCATAGGCTGTAGTGCCCATTACGAACTTCAAATATAAAATTTGAAATAATTCCGGTAAATAATGTCGCTGAAATCATGAAAATCCGGAATATCGGGAAAATATGGGGCTTTACGAAAACGTGAACCAGCATGGCCCATTTACGAACTGCCTACTGGTAAACTATGTCTTTATGCAAAATTGTAGCCTTCTATCTCAATTCGTTCGAAAGATAGCGTGATTACAACAGAAGGACATCGTTGGGTCGTCTTCGAATTTTACACTGATTTAGAATATATATACTTTGTAGGGTCTATTATAAATATTTCGAGAAGTTATAAACGAATGTAAATGTGGAATATAAACTTTTAGTTTTACTTCATAGAATGGTGGAGGATATAAAATCGCTCTTTCAAAAGTCCAATCCAAGAGATACATAGTCAAAAACTAATGTCGATTTTTCTTTCAGATTTTTGAGATGGGTATTATTCCAAGAATAGAACAAAAGTCGGGTTTGCGGATAAATCGTTCAAACGAAAGTCGATTCCTATGTTGAAATATTATTTATTTATTTATCATATCATTCTCTTAATTTCATTTCATTTGCGGACTGGTGAGCTGTCACAAGCTTTTGAGCAGGTCTGTTCAATAGTAACATTTCTGTAAAATTTACTTTCTTAATAATCTTGTATCATGAACAACATTTGCTGTGTTCCTGTACATTTTTGGTGAAAAAAATATACAATTCGTTTTGTGAGAAATACTACGCAGAAAGTACGGCAACGGAAAACCATTATCAAAACTATATAGCAACCCATTAAAAGGACAACTTTTGAGCAGAATGTAATTTGGCAAGGACGGATTTCAATATTGTTGAATTATGTAGTCAAATCTTATGTTGCTAAGTATTCGCAATTGAGTTTCTAAAAAATATGTATGTAGTTACTCATCTATTTGTTGAAATATTTGATACAAAACATAGCTAACTGCCTTTGTTAAGAAACTAATAAATCAGACATCAGTTTTGAACAATAGTCAGTAGCTTTGACCCATTTGTCGATACCAAAACTCAATAAACCTGTTTGCATCTTATAAATAAAACGTGATCAAACTCAAACTCAATTTTAGTTGATCGAAATTATGCTTAGAGCTGAACAATGAGCTGGTTTCGGAATTAATAAACAGATTTGAATGTTAATAACATTAAAAACGAATTTGCAAAAGAATGATTGAAAAATAAGTTTGAAATATATTAAAATGTGCAAAATTTGGTAAAAAAAAAATACATTTTTATTTATTTTAGAGAAACAAATGCATTTTTATCTTTTAGAATATGGCATTCGGAATTAATTCAAATAATGGTTACCCCCATTACACTGATATCCATAAACTGCATGTGCTAAGTAAATTTTATATCACATAAATTGTGTAATTTTTGACTGGGCACACCCTAACTTTGCTTTTAACTTAAAACAAACTCAAATAATAATGAGTCGCCCTTTTTAACAAAAACAAAATTACCAAAAATAATCATTTACCAAAAAAATGGTCAAACGGCAAATCCGCCCTCAACTTAGCAACTAAAATTAAAATAACAAAATAGAAAAATTAAAAAAAAAAAAAAACATTTGCTCACCCATGGACATATTTAAACGTTTCCGTGCATCACGCTTTGGATTAAAGAATTGCTGCAACTGCTGGGCATGTGCCTGCGTACATTTCTTAACGTTAATTGAACTGAAATTCGTGTGCGACTTAAGGCCGGGCGGACGATAGCGTGCACTCTTGGCACTGTTACTGTTGTTGCTGTTGATGCCGCCGCCGCTGGTGGGCGTGAAATTCAACGCGTTTTGCGATTTCGAAACGGGGGTTGAAGTTGCTGACACACCTGAGGGCAGTGCCGATGTTGAACTTGTTATTGTTGTTGGCGCACCCAAACTACTTATGAATGAGGTACTACTGCTACTAGTGACGGTGGCACCCGCACTTGCTGCCGCCGTATTGGTGGTAGGCAGGCGAGGCAGTGAGTTTGTCGTCGACATTTGTGCCACGCCAATGAGGCTGCGTGGCAGTGTGGAGCGTGTGCCCACAAACGGTTCACAATCGTCCGATGACGAGGAGTCTGTTTCGTAAATGGCGTCCGGAACGCTGGAACGTCTGGCATCCTTCGAGTCATTGGAGTTGGAAAGCCATGGTTTGGTTGGCGAGGACTCCAACACATGATGATGCTCGTCGCCACCTCCGATACTGCCACAGGAACGCACACGATCTAATTGCTCGCGACTCAGACTTTTATGATTGAACAACAGGTCACCTGCAGAACGACGCTTTGCAACGGCCAAAGCGGACGCAGACGATGAGTTGTCACGGTCGAGTTGAGATAGTTTTGTTCTGGAATCGCCATTAGCCAGTAATGCCGACTCAAAACTGCCGCGCCATGAAAAGCGCTCGTAGTCACTGGCCACGCCACACTCCTCGCCGGCGGTATCGCTAACGCCGCTGCTGGACTGATGGTGATGTGGTCGGTTGTGGGCAGTAGCATGATGCGCTGCATTGCTGCCGCCACCGCTGCTGCCCGTGCTGTTGGTACTTGTTGCTGTCAGCGAGGAAGAGGCTGAGTCAAGCAACAGGTCGTGTGATTTGCTGCGTGCCAAATTGTAGGCATCGTCCTGTGGATAGCCAATCGTTCGTGACGATGTGCTGGAGTAGAGCTGATGTTGAGCATAAGCATGGGAGGGATGCAAATACTGTGACGTTCTAGCGTTGCTAGTGGGTCGGTCTTCGGTCGGGGTGTCTTCTTCGTCTTCGGTGGTGGTAGCGGATATTTTCGCCTGCAAACGTTTGTGCTGATTGTGCCGTTGCATGGGCATGGGAGAATTGGTACCGTGGGTATCGTTGCCACTGCTTACCTCGTGCATCAGGGCCACCAAACGGGTACCGATGTGTTGCATAACTCTGGCAAACAGTTGAGGGGATCTTTCGGTACTACGTGTACTGCCAGTGGAGATGCGGTCTTCCTCCATTCCTACTCCTACGCCCAGTCTAGTGCTTCCACCACCCAAAACACTCTCTGTTGGGGGAACTGGTGGTACACTTCTTGTTTTGGCTTGGTCACTACTGACATTGCTGGGGGCGACTGAGGGATTTTCAATGGCCATTTTGGAAATAGAGGCCACAAGTTTTTGATATACCAAGGCAGTGTCAGGATTTACAGTTCTGACATCATCCAAGAGACCGCCATCACCACGATCACCTTCTTCATCGACTTCAAACTTGTTGATAATTTGCTGACAACTGGCTGATATTTGTTGTTTCAGTTCGCTTCGTCTTTGGCTACTGCCCTCCAGATCCGAACTTGTGTAATCTGAGGAATCGTACGAATCCGACCATGTATCCTCGCTGCTCAGATATTCAACGATTTCGCGCACTTGTTCGTCGTTAATGCCCGGTACCGTTTTCATAAGACGCGTTAGTTCATTTTCGAAATATGCCAGCGTGGCTGGACGGGATTTCATGCGACGTACTGATATGGGGGTGGTCTGATTGGGCGTGGTGGACTTGGAGTTACTGGCCGAGTTCTGTTGTTGGGCATTAGCTGTGGCTACGACAAGGGTCTTGAAAAATTGACGCATTTTACTCATCATAAGATTGGTTTCTTCGTCCGAACTCCAATTATTGAAGCTATCCTTGCGTACCAAGTTACAGGCGGATGATGTAGAAGCGGATGTAGAGGGAGGAATACTACTTGGCTTCTTGCTGACGCTATCGCTGGGTGTTGTGGCATTGTTGTTGTCATTTGCAATACTCAAGCGAACTGTTGGTATGGGCGCCACAAGCTTTTCGTTGACTTCTGTTATTTGTTCTAGTGTACTGGGCGACTTGTTGCGTACTCCATAAGAGGGTGAATTCTCGCTGTCAGGGGACTTTAGCAAATCATCATTGCTTCCCACAAAACCACTATCCCGACTGTGGTGTTGTTGTTTCTTTGACTGAGCATTTTGCATGGAACCGGGCGTGGGAGTGCGACATTCGATGTTGGAGGAAGCCATCTTGTTGTTGTCCTCCACACCGAGATTGGGATCCTGTAATTTCTTCTCATCCAATGAGTCGTGACGTTTTCTCAGCTGCTTTTTACGTTTCATGGTGTCCGTACCCTCTGAGGTTCGTTCACTAGCACTGCTATTGTGGAGAACAGTTTCATCGCAGGCTTCCGATTCCGAGGAATCAATAATATCCTGGCTATTGTTGGAAGGCATTAGGGTGTTTTCGAGCATCTCATTGGATTGTGAGTCCATAAGAAGATTGTCCAGCGAAGAATTGTGCGACCTGGGTGTGGTACGGGCACGCCATAGACGTTTTCTTCTTTGGCTCGGACTGGGATGACCTTCACTGTCGCTGCCCACACTACCACTCTCGTCGGAATCATTCTTTTCGCTGGCATTGAAACCCATAAAACCGGAAAGGAAATATTTCTCAAGCCTTGAGGAAGCTAAATCGGCAGCTTGTCCAACATCATTGACAGGTTCATCGGGAACCCCCAACGAATCCAAGCCCTCTGAATAAACACTGCTTACATCGGAGGCCGTATCTTCACCACGAGTATCAATTGAGCTCATCACCTTGCCATCGCCTAGACCAAAAAAGAAATATTTCTCTAGTTCTGAGGCGGAAAGGCGATGATGGTGCTGGAGGGTCTTTTGCCTTTTACGTTCCAAATCGTCTAGATCATCCTCATCGGTATGACTTCTGAGCGAGGCCACTTCACTCTCTTCACAGCTCTCTTCGACAATGGTGTGAAGCGTAAAATCAATAGCTGTGCGATGATAGCCACGCAACTCTTCTTCACGATTCATAAATATGCCCAATGAGTGTGGATCATCGCCGTCTTCCGAATCGGTAGCGGTGGGAGTTGTATCATCTTCATCAACGTCCTCCTCCTCCTCTTCGGCTTCTTCCTCCCCGGCCACTTCCAATTCTGTTCCCACCACATCGCCATGTTCACTAAGTTCTTCCACCCACGAATCGTCATCGGCAAGACCGTCTTCCAGGCAAACGGCCTTCTTAATCGGTGTCGTTAGTCCTGCGAGGACATTCTCATCACGTTCCGCGCTCTCTGTTAGCGAATATAAATTTGCATTTGCATCGAACGAATCAAAATCGCGCTCAGCGTCATCGTTGGCGTTGATGCGCTGATCTCTGAGTAAATCGACCGATGACGAGGGCGACGTCGACGCAGTCGGAGACGACACTAACACTTCACTTTTAACATTTTCATTCTGATTGTGGTCAGATTGTTGTTGTTGTTCTTCTTCTTTCATAGATTGGTATTTACCCAACGATGACTCATTCAGATTTGTATCACTTTTGTTGCTGTTATTTTTGATTTGCGTGTTGTTGTTATCTTTATCGATATCACCAGCGCCACTCGGCGAGATGGTGTGATTTGACATTTGCTTTAGCACTTCACTTGTTTCACTAATATTGCCGTTATCTTCACCGACACGTGTCGCCGCGACGATTGGTGCGACTTTCGTAGATTGATTGGCGAAATTTGCACTATTGTTTTGCTCCTCTTGCTGTTGTTGTTGTTGATCTTTCGTAATCATTATCAAACTGCGATATTTGGCCGATAAGGTATTTGGCGAATTGTTTACATGGGTGCTGCGATATTTGGTCGACTTCGCGGGCGGCGTTAATGCGGTCGAGGTTAATACTGTCGCGGCGGGTATACCCGTCGTTCGCGTTTCGCGAGAGTATTCACTTGCACTTGTTGTTCCGCAACCACCACCACCACCTCCAACAACAACGTCATCTAGATCATCGGCACAGTTCTTGATTGACGATCTTGCAATTCTGGTATTATTTTTAATGCTATTGAAGCCGAATACGTCTTCTTCTTCTTCGTCGTCGTTGTCGTCGCATTCGACATCGACGTCTGCGAACGCCTCAGCATCGATGTTGTGGTCAAAGCTGCCGCCTGATTCCTTTGTATCTGGCTGTTGGTATTGCCAATGGTGTTGCTTGTGTTGTTGCTGGTAATAAAATTCGTTGTTATCTTTATTTTTATTGTTGCCCAGTTCGTTGTTGTCGTCGTCTTTCATTTGATGTTTACGAAAATGGCCAACTGTTGTTGTTGGTGTCTCCAAATCGAAATGTTTACGGCTGTTGGTGGTGGTGAACGAGGAGTTGGGCTGTGTACTTGTTGTTTTGCGTATCGCACCAAAGTTGTTGTTGTCGTTGCTTTTCAATTGGTCGCTGTATTCGATGTCAACAAACCGATCGTAACTTCTACCGTCTTTCTCGTTTAAAATTTCATTTTCAACTGTTGCTTGCAGAGCTAGAGTCTCTGCGCGCATTATCGTCGTCGCGACATTATCCAACGAAGGCATAGTGATCTCTGAGCACATGGCCGATGTGCTCACCTCAGAGGTAAACAACGATGGCTCTCTTTTTGGTGCGAGTACCTGTTTTTGCTCTCCGCCATTACTACCTGTTCGAGGTGATGATGGTAGATTAGCAGTCGATGTTGTATTGGTGTTAATGGTCGTGGTATTGGTAGGCGTCTCTAATGAGTCCATAAAATATTCTGTGAAACTACTGGAGACGGGTGGTGTACTATGCTGGTGTAGGGTAACGTAATAACAGTCGCGTAGCATTTCATTTGTTTTGCACGCTTGGCTGGATTCTTGTACTCCGTTTACTTCTGGTTCGGGTTCTTCTTGTTCGTTGAGTTCTGTGCTTCTTTGTTGTTTATGGCTTAATTCATCAGCTACCGTTGTGGAGCGGCGGCCAGCTGGTTGCTGCTGCTGGTGTTGTTGTTGTTTTACCTGTACCTGTTCTTCTACATTCGATTTACAGGTATCACGTTGTGGTATTGGTTTGTTTTGGTTTTTCTTTGTTTCACATTCATTTTCGTCGACATGTGCGTCATCATCCTCTTCTACGTCATGATTATCATCGTCATCATCACCATTGTTGCTGTCGACGTCGTAATGCACATAGTTAACTTTGAAATCTTCGTTGTCACGTTGACTAACCAAAGCAGAAGGAGAAGAGGAGCATGTATCGGATATCGCCACAACAGTAGAACTGTCCAAATGGTCATTGGACATAGTTCGTGTTGTTGTTGTTGTTGCTACTGGTGTAACTGTTTGTAGTGGCAATTTATCTTCAGAACTGTGGTTGCTGCTGCCATGCCATTTGACAGGTATTTCCACTTTTTCCTTCTCACATTTCTTGTCTAGCTTTTCGGTGTTTTCGTCATCGTCGGTTAGCTGCTGCTGCTGTAGTTTGCTGTTGTTTTGTTCTGGATTTCTTGGTTTTTCTTCGACCATAAGTGTTGCATTACCGGTTTTGTGTTTACTTTTAGTTTTCGTTTCAGCTGCCGTCCCCACCATGGAACGCATATTCAGCAGTTTTTCCTCTAGGGCCTCTACGGCTTGGCATAAGACCACCTCTTCCTCCTCCTGCTCGTGGTCACGCTCACCATTGTCGCCGGAGGAAACCTTTGCAATGCCTTCGCTTTCAGGCTGTAATTTGTCATTGCATTTAGATTCTGTTAGTGCTGTTGTTGTTGTTGTGGTTTCGGTTAAATGATCCTGATTGATTTCTTTAACAACGCTCTTCAGCTTCTGCAGCTTGATTTCCAGCTCTGAATTTTGTTTGGTTAAGGCCAATAAACGATTTACATCATTGGAAATGCTATGCAGTTCCTCGCACACATCCTCAGCATTGGAAATGGCGCTGGCGTTATCCACGGCCGTAATCACTGAAGCATTCGGCCATACATGCGCATCATGCGAGATTTTAATTGCTCCACTTGCATTGGCAGTCGATGTTGTTGTAGCCTGCCAATGATGATTTTCACTATTGTTTGTTGCCACTTTCTTGCTAACTATGCCACCAGCAGCACCACCACCACCACCACCATGATCATTATCATCAGTTTGGTGATAATGTTCGGCAGGTGGGGTGGGAGGGGGCTCTAATGAACGTATGGCTTGCAACACCACCCCGCCATTGTCGTCGTCAGTTTGGCCGCCAACAACGAAAATACAATTCGCCAAATCTGAGCTAGAACTCTGTTCGTTGACACATTCACTTTCGTCGTCATCACCGGCAATCGGCAATCCAGCCCTGGCCGTTGGCGCATTGTCGCCCTCACCATACATCAAGTCGTCTTCTTCATCGCGCTTGCAATCGTGTACGCTGGAGTCACTGCAACTATCACTTTCATGCAACGAATCGCGTATCTCCTTTAGCTCGCATTCGGAACCCTGATCTTCGTCGTTCAGCAGTTTGATGCAACGCAATACCACCCCGCAGTGGGTTCTCTCCGTGTCGGTATCATTGTCCGAGGAATCCTCAAGGTTAGCGTCCGACGAGGATTCTGTGCACGAGGCACTACTACAACTGCCCGTCACGAGATTACGATTTTTACGCGATCTTCGATTTACCACAAAGACTTTGGAGAAATGTTTTTTGCGTGGTCTTCGATCGGCGACATTACCCGTGTCGTCGGTATCCACCGATTCCGAACTGGATTGAGAACTTTGCGTTTCATTGTCACTATCATCACTTTTTGTTTTGTCATTCGATGAGGACGACTTTGAGGCACTACTATCACTTGTAGCTGCCGCACAATCCTCCTCCTCCACCTCCCTTTCTCCATCAGGAATAATGTTATAACTTCTTTGTGTACGCCTTGAGGAGCGTTTCTTTTTGGTGGACTTCTTTGAAATGAACTCCTCGCAATCCTCATTGTTGGATGCTGATGAATCTTCGGAATTATCGCTGGAATCGGAGGAGTTGGCGGACGAATTCGAGAGTTCATGGCGTTCACTGGGCAAATAGCCGCCGCCATCTGGCCCAGTTGTGTTTCTACTTTCGAGAGAGCTATCTGGTAGCTTTATCATGTTTTTATATTGATTTGTTCTTGTGTCTGTTGTTGTAGATATTGATTTGGTTGTGACCACCTCCGGTGCTAGGTCTTCTCGTGTTGGCAGCACTACCGTTGTGTTCGTTGATTTTCCAACAACTATGGCCGGTTGTACAAAATTCGTTATGTTTTCCTCAGCAGTTGGGATTGTAGTTGTTGTTGCTAGTTTTGTTATGGGATTTTTCACATTTTCTTTAAAAGCTTGACTTGGTGGTGGTGGCGTTTGTGGCGGTGGTGGTCTTGCATTCGTTGCTGCAACTGCAGTGCTGTAACTCGCGCTCAGTGTTGCCACCAAACCATCTGTGCAAACAGAGTTCGCGTTGTGGTCGGCAGTGGCTGTGGAACAAGTTTTTACCGGCTTTACAGCTTTTTCAAAAATATCTCGATTACACAAAACGTCATTACGACACAGAGACAGAGATAACGCTGGTTTGTTTTGCTCAATGTTAGCGGAAACGTCATTATTGTGTTGTTCATTGCCACCTCGTTTCCGTTTCAGATCATGAGAGAGCAATGTTTGTGTTTCATTGTCGAGTGTTTCTTCTCCCTTAGAGGGTAGTGTTGATGTGGTTTCTCTCTTCTCATCGTGAGGTTTGTTTGACAACAGAAGCAGCTGTTGACGATTCTCAGCGGTACTGCTCTCTGTATGGGCCAAAGCTATTACTGCCTTTTTAGCTGTGGTGAATATTTTCTGGTCTTTGCCGCTGTCGTCTGTTTGGTTGTTGTTGTTGGTGCTCGTACTACAACTATTATTATTGGTTATGTTATTGTTGTTAGCAGTGGTGGTAGTCGTAGTAGTTTTTGTTGGGCCGCAAACTTGTTTCTTCTCTACTTCTAAATCAACAACGATTTGTTCGGGATTGTTTGCTAAAATTTGTCTATCCGTTGTTGTCGTTGTGGCTGTTGTTTTTCCAAACTCATTCACCAAATTTGCATTAATTTTTGCAACTTCATTTTCACAACAACTCCGATTGGCGTCCGTCTCCGGGCGGACATTGTTGAATTCGCTAATTACCGATATTTTGTCAACGAATTCGCGTTCAACGTTTTGGGTGGTGTCCGAAAGGGTTTGATCGACGCCGATATCGCCACCGTTTGTTTGTTCCGTTACGGCTGGAGCTGAAACACGACTTGAAATCAACGAAGGTATATCGTCAACTGACAGTGCTGAGCAATTCAGAGCTGGCATACACTTGAGGCGGCCAGAGTCATCGATACCATCACACTCATGTTGGACTGTCAGACTTTGGTATCCATCGTGGTAGTGGTGGTGCTGGTGGTGGTTTTGGTCGTCGTCCATGTGTTGTTGAGCCGGTGGTGGTAGTGGTGGTGCCATAGACAGCAGTGAATGGCGTTTACCAACAACATATGTCTTATCAGTCGATTGAGAACGATGGTGGTTGTTCAGGTGGTGCTGGTGGTGCTGGTCATTTGCACCAGCAGCTGTAAGCTTTTCAACATTCAATAAGGTTTCCAAACTGCCACCGGTTGTGGTGTTGGTTCCATAACCGGAAGAGGTGGAACAGTGCGATTGTGTCATACCCACCAGTGAGTAGGTGGATGAACTTAAGTCGGGCGCTGATGACTTGAAGCCTGCAACACCTTTGCCACCATTACCATGACCTGCCAGCTTTTGATAGGTTGCTGCAACTGCAGCAGCTGCTGCAGCTTGCAAATTATTTGTACTCACCACGTTGGGATTGGGCAGGCTATTTTGGGCCGAGCACCACAGCTTTTGCAGCGAGGCACACAAATCCTTTTGGTCAGTATCTTCGACCAGAAGGCCAGGCGGTATTTGCGGTGTCAATTCGTTGGCATTCCAATAGGGATAGGCTGACATAGGCACCGGTATGGGTACTGGCACTGGAATTGGCACATACTGAGGTTGCAGCGTTGCGGAAGACGGCTGTGAGGCTTCATTTCTAGCTTGAATGCCTTTGGCAGCACCACAGCTGCAGGAATCACCAGCCGCTAGTTGGCTATTACGCGGGGAACTTAGACGATGATGTTTCGGATGGTGTTGTTCCTTGCTCAAGAATCGAGTTTTAATTCGGGTTTTCATACTCATTTGATGTTGGGTTCGTGCCGCCGATGTCGAGGATCGAGTCAGATATCCATCAGAGCTGGAGCTTTCACCTTGCATTAGCAGCTCCTCATCAGTTCCTGTGTCACTCTCCCTGACACGCGGGCAAAACATCAACTGTTTGCGATACATCAAAGGCGATTCCATGGGTGAAGCGGTACTATCGCTGGATTTTAGATCGCGTGAATGTCTGCGTCGTGTCACCAGTGGTGAACCACAAGGGGAATAGAGAACATGTTTGGTAATACTTGTGCTGATCATCGATGGCTCAAAATAGTCCCAATCGCAATCATCTATGGCGATACTGCTGCAGTTATGGGTCGAAGAAGTCGATGTCGTCGAACTGCTATCCTCGAATTCATCATCATCGCGACACGATGATGAATCGGCCGAGTTAATAAAAACCAATTTGAATTCATCGGCTTCCATGTTGTACTGGGCATGATTGATGGTAATCGATTTAAATTCCATTTCCGACGAAGTTTCCATAGTGTCGTAGGCATCTGGAATCAATAGATGGTCGAGACATTTGTTTTCATTTCATACGATGTAATTGACAGACAGACATACAGACTTTTCGGTTAGTATTATGAAATCCTCTTCCGTGCTTTGTTTTTATTTTTCTTTTAGAACCTCCACCATCAACCAACACCAATTTTATCAGCAGCTATGACACAAATAGCAAGCAATGTTTTCGTTCTCAGGAGAAACGGGTTAGTATAGAATTTTGTTTTTGTTAAGATATCGTGCTGGGCATAGATGATAAGACAGACACACTCTCCACACTACTCTAGATATTTTTTTCCATAAAGAATTTGTAATAAAAATAAAAAATGTACACCGAGATACCGCCATTATCGCAAAACAATTACGCCCACTAAATCCATAATGAAAGGTTTTGTTTTCTATGATTTTCTTTATTATTAATGAATTTATGCAGTTTAAAGAACAGTAGGGTTACCATCACCCTAACACAATGGAACAAAAAATAAATAAAAATAAAAACGATTTTTAAAAATGAATAATTTTCAAAATTTCATTTTTTTTTAAATAATTGTTAGGACATAATTCGTGCCAAAGGTGACACCAAACAATGCATTAAAATACATGAATTTTTTTTTTAATTTTTTAAATTTTTTTAAATATTAATGTCGATTTAGAGTCATTCTATTTTAAAGTAATGATATACAGAGTGGGATGAAAAAAATGCAACCAACTTCAGACTGCTGTCATTTCCAAGCCACTCGTCTGGCAGCTGTTAAAATTATTCCAGTGACAGTTCATTATATTGTTTACAAGCGTTCAAAAGCATTTTGGTGAGAACTTTCAGAAAAAAAGTTATTCCTGATGGAATTCAAGCGAGAGCACTCCAGCATTTAAATGTGAATAAATCTTTCATGCATCGTACCATCGCTCGTTACCGGGATACTGGTAGCGTAACCCAACGTCAGCCGATGGTCGCTCTCCGCTCGTATTAATCGACCGTGACATCGGAATAAATGCCGAATATTTTCGCGAATATTATCTGAAGGGGGTATTAAAGCCTTGGGCACTGAAACATGTTGGCCGCAGACCTTGGACATTCCAAAAGGACTTAGCACTATCGCACTCAGCACGCGCCACCCAAGAATGGTTACAAAATCAAGTTCCTCGCTTCATTTAAAACGCACAAAGGAAACCAAAATCTCTTGATACCAATCCGTTGGACTATTGTATCTGGAGTATTTTGGAAAGCAAGGTTGGTACTAAAAAATACCAAAGTGTCGATCACCTCAGGCAAGATCTTCACCGGGAATGGACCAAAATACCGCAGAGCAATATTCGGACAGCGTGTGACGATTTCATTGGCGGTTTGAAGGCCAAAATTCGTGCAAAAGGTGACCAACTCAAACAAATCTAAACTTATTCTAAAATTTGATGCTATTTCCGACATTTTTTGCTTTCATTCAATAAAATTAAAAAAAAAACAATTATGGCGTTTGACTTTGTTGCAGTTTTTTATATCATCCTGTATTTAATATCAGCCCAAATTGGATAGAATTTTTCATATTATACCGAATTTTTCCATTTGGTGAAACTCGGTTCGGTATATCTATGGCTCCAATAAATAAAAAGTAAGTAAAAACATTAAGAAAGATTTATTTAAAAAAATCAATTTTTAATTTCAATCTTAATTCCCAGATCTCTTTTTATACAAAACCTGAGTAAAACAAGGACCAATCTATCCCTTTCATCACTACACTAAAATTTCCTCATAATTTCTTTGTGTGCACAGTAAAATTCAACCGTTCAAAAGCAAAAATTCCCTTTACCTGTTTTGCCTGATGAAAATTAAAACTCATTTCAGATTTCCACTGAAACACACTGAAAGTCGTAAAATTTCAGAAATTAAAAAAACAAACAACGAACGTGCAAACATTTTAATGCTTCTCCGGTGTCATAAAGGATTCAACGCGGCTGGTTACCGATACTTAAAAGAGAATCTCTGAAATTACAACAAATATTTGCTGAGCATGATGTGGCCATTGTCGTTGTTGTTGTTGACAGTGTTTACACATGTATTCATATATCCTGTGTATACCACGCCTGTGGCAAATGGTTTAAATGTTGGAAAAAGTACATTTCCATAAAGGATTCATATTACACAGGTATGAGTGACTATGTGTGTGATGATGTATTTGTACAACAATAATTATAATATTGATCCTTAAAATGCTCGTCATGTTTGAAATAAAATTAAAATTATTTGTAATTTTAGGTGTCGTTTACATTTTTCATTTCAGATATATTTGAGATTATTTTTATGGCAGGGATTCGTTATTTTAATTCGAGCCGGAGGTACACTTAAAAAAAAACATAAATCTTGTAAAAATACTGATAAAAATATTAGGTGTGTAAAGTTTGAATTAAATTTGGAACTCATATTTGTGTGAGTAATTGTTAATTAAAATTTGAACCTTTTGTGGGAAAGTAGCCAGAACGAGTGGACCGAATATATCGATATACGAAGTTTGAGAAAAATTACTGACTTGTTTCGCATGTTATGAGAAATTTTGACCCTTTGTTGGATGAAACCAGAAGGATTGGACCTGCAATTCCCATATTCACATAAGATCTAATGGAGAAAGAAGTATTACGTTATGTGAAAAAAGTAAAATCAGTTAATTACTTTGAATTTTTTGAGAGCAATAATTATTTATAATTTTGCAGCTTTCGAAAATAACAGTATCGTACTGTACCGTAGTGTTCTGTACCGTTCCGAGGTGGAGTGGTACACTAACATAATGTACCGTACCGGAACATAACCCTTAAAAATATTTTAGTGATACTGTACCGGAGCACAACAAGAATCGTACTGTACCGCAGTCGGAACATTACGAAATCTTATCGCTGCAATTTTTAAGTTGCCGCGAAAAAGGGTATTTTAGTGGTTGTGTTGTAATGGGTTATTATGAAAATAATTTTACAAAGTATGGCTGAGTGTTTAAAATCAGTTTTATGATTTCGGTGTAAATAAGACCAAACCACAGGTACTACATCAAGATGCCAGTACACTTTTTTAATGTGGTGCATGTGTTACACTACGATTTTTTAATTCTCCGATAGCGAAAAACTACGTTTTTTAGTGTTCCGAGTCGGGTATACTACGACATTTAGGGCTCCGACTGCGGTACACTATGATCATCGTTGTGTACCGGTGCAGTATCACTAACATTTTTCTAACATTTTTTTAGTGATACTGTACCGGTACAGTACACTATCTTTGTGTACTGTTTATTTTCGAACGCTGCAATTTTGATATTTTGTGAGGGAACTACCAGAAGGAGTAATGGAGTGTACCAAATAGATAGACGGACGGATGTCGCTATACCGACTGTGATGTTTCTGAAACGGATTTCTGTGATGTTTCTGAAAGGAGACCAGGGACCTAAAAGAGAATTTCCGACGAAAATAGCCATAAAAAGGTAAAGGATGATTTTTTAGCTATTATCTTTTTGACAACACGGCTTTAAGAGCTCACGAACGTTCCGTTTTTTGTTTCACTGTCAAACATCTTCAGTTTGGTCTATTATCGTACCCGGAATATTCTTACAAACGAACATCGCTTGGAAATCAATAATTATACCCTACACCACATAATGGTAAGGGTAATATTTCTTTGTGCATTTGTTTGTAACATGGAGAAGAAAGCGAGATAGACTCATAGTATGGAATTTTGCACATACAACCAAAATAGACCTGAAAATAAGTATGCCAAATTTGATCGAAATCGGTTCAGATATAGCTATACCTCCCATATATATTGTTCATCCGATTTGTTATTTTTGTCCTGCGCAGCCGTAATATGCACTCTGTAACAACAATATTTGGGGAAATATATAAATTGCAGCTCAGAAATACATTTGTTAAATTTTATCGAGATCGGTTCAGATTTGGATATAGCTCCCATATATAACTTCGTCCGATTTACCTTTTATTGTACACCAAACGTCTAATATTTGTCCAAATGGGATGGAATTTGTCACATGCGACCGAATTGAGTCTAGAAGCTAGTATGCCAAATTTGGTGAAGATCGGTTCAGATATAGCTATAGCTCCCATACCCACAGCCGTAATATGCATTCCGTAACAACGATATTCAGGGAAATATATCAAATACAGCTCAGAAATATCTTTGCCAAATTTTATCGGTTCAGATTTAGATATTTCAAATTAATTGTGCACCAAATGGGCAATACAAGTCCGAATTTAAAAGATACAAATGCTTCGGCATATTTAGTCGTTTGAACTTTAAATTACAATTATAATCATAGCGTGTATGATTAAATTCTCCCATAAAATCTTTTAATTCTTATGTGGAGCTCTACAAAAGTAGCAAAGTGGTGTAGGGTATCATAAATGCGTGAAATTGTGTTCAGCGACCAAGCCCATTTTTGGCAAATATCCAGAATTGTCCATTTTGGGGTGAAGTCTAGCCAGAAGCATTGGATAAGTAATGCATTCAGAAAGTCACAGTTTGGTGCGGCTTATGGACTAGTGGCATCAAACTACTTCTTCAAATATGAGTGCTAACGTGATTTGAAATTTAACTCTTTTGCTCGATTTGCATGATATGTGGTTTCAACAAAATAGTGCCACATACCACACAATAGACTTATTAAGAGTTTAGTTTGGTGAACATCTTTTTTCACTTTCAGAACCGATCAATTGTCTGCCTAGATAGGAGATTCAACGCATACAACATACAGCACGAAATAATCTTCAAATATTATATATAGAAAATACTATCATTTCGAATAAAGATTACATGATTTTTTCAGAGCTTTCTGTGTTTTTTTATACCCTATTCCGCATAGTTGTAAGGGTATTATGTGTTTGTGCATTTGTTTGTAACAGGAAAAAGGAAACGAGATAGACCCATAGTTACTATTGAGGATCTTCATAGAATCACTCTCTGAGTCGATTTATGCATGTCAGTCCGTCCGTCTGTCCATATATTTGA